ATGTCATGCTTTCCACATTGTAAATCTTGTAACCCGCAAGTCTAAAATTATAATAATAAATGATAGTGCGATAGCCACTTGCTCCTCAAAAAAAAAAAAAATATTTGATAAAAATAAAGAATATTTATTAAATAATTATTTATTTTAATATAATTATTATCACTTTAAAAATTTCTAAATTTTTAAAAACTTTTGAAAATTTTTTGAGTGGAAATCTTTAGAAATTTTTATTAAAAAAATTTTCTGGTATTATTTAAAACTTTATTTTGATAATACTTATTATATTATTTTAAAAAATCCATAATTTTTTTTCAATCAAAAAATCAAAATCAATTTATCTCTTTTAATTAATTGATATTTGGAAACTGTTTAATTAGAATTTACTATATTATTTTAATAAAATAAACAAAATCTATTTAAACTGATTTATTAATCCAATAACAATTACAATAACAATATCAATTATCATATTAATAACAACTATAAAAACAAATAATATTATATATATTCTATTATTTATAGTAATTAAAAAGTCAGAAAAATAAAATAATAAGTTTATTTAAAGGTTTTTTTGAAAAATAATTAGTTTTCTACTTATATATTTTATTATATATTTGATTTAATTTTAATTTCAGTTATATTTATTTTTTTTTCTCAATTATTTTATATTTGAAAAATTAAAAAATTTTTACAAGACTTTTTAAGTTAATAAATATAATTACCATATACCACTACATACAATACCCTTACTAATAATATTGGATAGTATTCAAGAAAATTGTTGCTTGATAATTGATTACTACCCGGATATATTAATATAATAATAAGTAAGAAAATATTATTTTGAATTTTATAATAATAATATATCCTGTCACTAATACTACCCCCCTCCTAGTAAAATACCTCCCAGGTATTAATTAATTTATTAGAGAGTAAATTGATTAATACCTGAGATATAATATGCAGTGGTATATGGTACTATTTAACTTTATTTAATATTTTAATATTGCTTTTAAAAAATTTTTTAATATTAGCTAGATATTATTTTGTAAATAAGTTAACATTTAACTTACTGCATAAAAAATATAAAAAATGTTGTTTTTTTTACAATATATATCTTGTTATATACAAATTAAATAAAGAAATAATGTTTATCTACTGGAAAAACCTCCAAAAAAAGAATATAAATAATTCAATGAAAATATATGCACTACTAATACCTTTTACCTTTTAAAAAAAAAAAATAAATACATATATAATTATAACTATAGATTTTAAGCCTTTAACAAAAAAATATTTTTGTAAATAGTTACTTATAAAATAAAAATAGACTATTAATAATATATAATAAATTATAATAAAACATTATTAAATAAACAACTAATAAATAATAAATAAATGACACCAGCCTAATTGAGGATTAATTAATAAAAATTTTCATAAACAATGAATACAATCTTTATTGTAATGGTTTAACTTGATCTAATAAACAAATAACTTCAATCTGCTTAAGGGTTAAAAAAAAATCTACTTGATGTTATTTTATTAATAATCAGTAATAAATATGAATCAACATCCAAAATAAATATTTATAATCAATAGTTTGATTACAAATAGTACAATAGTATTCTATATGTGACCTTTATTAAAAATATTATTATAGTAATAAACGCAACATTTTTAAGTACCAGCAAATATAATTTGTAAATGCTCGGTACGTAATCCACATTAAGAGCTTCAATTCTACTGTTTACTTCCCAATTTCCAAATATAACAAAGAAAGTAGTGCACACTTGACTTCGTTGACTTTCACGCTTACTATTAAAAAAAATTTTTACTACATAGTTTATTTATTGATAACCAAGTGAGCAAATAAATGAGAATTAATAGTTACCACTTTTTCTTCCTTCAATCCGTCCTTAAACATCGTGAGATAAGGAGTAATTTGATCTTCACGGTAGTTCAATAGGGCAACCATGCCGTCTTGATTAAAACTCTCACCGATATAAAATTGGTAATCTAATAAAGAATAAGAAAATGAATTGTTTTAAATATCAACTAATAAGATATTATATTTGGAAAAACATACCAGAAAAGTTATCTAAAATCTTTTTTGAAAAAGCATTGATCTTTTTTTTCCACTCATTCATATCAACGTCAGGTTTGCACTGGACTTGTTCTGCAAGTTTCTTCATATAACTCTTGAGATAGGTTTGGTAGGCACGCTTATCAAAAGAGGTTTCTTGAAGACGAAATGCATGAACTACATTATTAACTTGGATAGTTCCCTCTTCGAGAGTTTCTTCGGTTTCTTCCTCCGAGGGATTCGCGCCGATATCAACATCAACACCTTCTTTAACCGTAATCATCTGAATGAGTGAAAAAATTATCGTTAACATCAGAATTTGGAATGTAGGTGAATTGTGTAGAATTAGTCGATACCTGACAGTCGATTTCGAAAGCTACATCATCAACGACTTTAACAGGATATGCATCAGAACCAAATTCGTCGCCTAGATTTAAACCACACATAAATGACCCAACCGAGCAATATAAGCGAAAAAATATTTTTTTACATATCATACCAGAAATAATGTCACGATAAATGATCATTTTGAAAGATGAATGCAACGTATATAATGACACCTACAAGAAAAAAAAAAAAGGTGGCAATGATTATTCACAAAACATTGCACGTGACGATTGATAAACAGATATATTACTTATTACAGTCATAATAAAGTACGTATTTTATTATTATTACGTATTTTCAGGCAAAAAATGTTACTGTATATATTTACATGCGACAAAAAGATCCGGACTTTTTTTTATTACGTACAGTATGGATCAAAAATAATTGGAAAAAATCAAAACTCATATTTTATTCATAATTTAATAAATAATTAAATAAT